TAAATAAATAAATAAATAAATATTTTAATGTGATGAAATTGTTGTCATGGAGTAGTGTGTACAACAGATTTGCTTTTCTACATTCTTTGTATAATTGTACTAAAGCTTATAATAAAATTATGAATAGAACATTAATGTCTACATCACACTAAGCCATATAAATACAATATTGTTCCTTTGTGAGCCATGGTATTTAGACAAATTACGTTAAATTGTATAAAAATATCTTACAGTTTAATTACAAGGCAACAATGACACAGCAATTTAAATAGCTGATTAATTTGGTGTCATGTGCTTATACAGAAGTTCATAGTGTACATGTGCTTTATATGCATATGTTTCTGTGTGTGAACTTTGATGTTCAAAACATGGTGCCTTATATAATAATAGGATGCTTTATATGTATTTTTTCTTCTAGATAAATTAATGAAAGATCTTCAAAGTGAATTGTTGAAGGAATTGTTAACAGAAAAAGAACCTGATTTTTAAAATAGTATTTCAAGTATTACATATGAATTTCTAAAGAAAATATTCATCTGTAGTTTATTTTTCAAGTCACAGACATTGAATTTTTCATCTCTCTTCACTCCTCTACTCCTTGGTTATTTTCCCCTAGAGGATAAGTCTGGAGAAATAGAAATGGGGGTGAAGTGGAATTTTTCATGATCCCAGATACATTGGTACTTACCCACATAAGACTTACAGAAAACTTCCAAAGAACATGCATTTCATTGTATGTATGTGTATTAGACAGTAAATGCAAGCAACCAACTCAAGTTCACTCAAAATACAGAATGTCAGAGGACATTTTCCAGACTAAAATCATTCACTATTACCTTCTTTGCAGTGGCACCACATGAGTAAACCTATCACCAAGAATTGTATAATAACCTAGAAGTGATGCACTCCCAACTGAGTAAACTCATAAACTGAAAAAAATTCAAAAAATAAGCAACCATCTTTATTGTTTGTAATTCTCATTTCAATCATGCCTATTTTATACTTTTTAATAATTTTATTGTATATTTTCTTGAATGCTTGAAACAACAGTTGAAATAAAATTTGTTGTCTTATTTTTATCAGTTGGGACCATAACTTGTGTATAAGCTCCTAACTGGCTGCTCCCTAAACTTCACCATTGGCTGAAATGCCTGATTAACGCTGCAGGCCCTAAAATCTGATGACATGATGCATTTAGTGCCAGGTCTCCCAACGCAGCTACTTTGCTGCATGGCTGAAAACCAAACAAGTCTCTGGCAACTGACTCCATCAGAATTAAGGAATCAGACCACTAGAACCTTCTCTGTTCCCACCTCTCTGTTATTACTTATGCTTTTTTGCTAGAACTTTGTCTAGGGGATAAAAACAATGGGAAAAATAGAAAGTGATAAACAAAATTTCCCTATATCATCCTACTTTGATGGTTACTCCTCCCAACAACCTTCAAATACATCAAACCTCCTCCTTACTGCATTTCCTAGTGCTTCTACCATTGAAATACAACCAACCATACTATATTACTCTCTATTTACATTCTGAAAATTGATGAGGTTTACTTCCAGGATTTTTTAAGCAAATGGATGTTGATATTGTAAGATAATGTGTCAAGCTCCAAGGATTAGTTTCAAATATAATATGAATCCTTCTCTCCCTGCTCTCTTGTTTACTGCAAAAGATGCACTTCAATCATTCACACAGATAAACTTTTCAACCAGTCCAAGCTTGAACTTCCAGTGTCCTGTTGGCCTCTGACCTACTCACAGCATAGGGCCTCCATGGGGAGAAAGGCACCCTGCCAGTAACTCACAGATGCACTCTGCAAGCTCAGGGAAGCAGCATATACTTGCACTGTAACGAAGTGATGATATTCCTTTTATGACAACCAGCATGTGTTGAAGAACATATGTGGTTCATTTTATTATTGTGTTCAGAACACATGATGGCATAGGAATTTGTCTCAAATATGATAATATAATAAAACTAACGTTAAATAATTATTTGAAATATATGGCTCAGTGATTCCTCTACACTCTCAGCCCCCAACAGACTGAAGAAATTATTTCTCTGCAAAAAAGTGGTAAAGAATTATTCCTTTGAATTTATTATATAATTTTAAATTATGGTTTCCTGCATCTCAACTTAGCAAATAGTGAATAAAGCCTATAATATTCAAAGCAGGCTTTTGACATCTTTGATATGAATCTGCTAGGACAAGAGAAATTCCTTAAGAAAGGTTTTAGTTAGCTTCTGAAAGAGTTAGAAATATTAACCAGTTTTCCATTCAATTTTTAATCATTATTTTTTGATTGCTCACTATCCAGATATAAGGGTAAGTGAAAAGCATATGGTGATGAATAATAATGGTAAATAATTGATAATTATTAATACCTTCAGTCTACACCAAGTTTTTGGTGGCAGTCATAAATGAATGCAGAACCAAATATAGGAAATAAAAAAATAATTGTCACTGGGTTTTTGCGTATTTAAAGAGTGCATGTAGAGCTTCAAGCATCATTTAAAGAGTCATATAGATGGATTGTATTTTTCTGTATTTCTATTCTGTTTTTATTTTTTTGTGCTTAGTTGGAAATTGCATAGAACTAGTGAATTCTGAGACAAGAAACCAAGCCATTCTTGTATTTCTTGAATTTATTGTTCTGGTGAATATTTCATTTTAGTGTTTATTTTTTAAAAAATAATTATTTATTTGAAGGAGTTACAGGGAGATAGGGAAAAAAGAAGAGGGAGAGAGACAGAGAGAGAGACAGAAAGACAGATCAAGACATTGAAAGATATCTTCTATGCATTGATTCACTCCCCAGATGGCTATTGCTAGCTATGGTCCAGGCCAAAACTAGGAGCCAGGAACTTCTTCCAGCTCTGCCACATGGAGAGCAGGGGCAAAGCACTTGGGCCATCTTCTGCTGATCTTCCCAGGCCATTAGTGGGGATTAGATTGGATGTTGAGTAAGCTGGTTCAAGAACTGGTGCCCATATGGAATGCTGGCATCTCAGGCAGCAGCCTTACCCATGACACCATAATGCCAGCCCTTCATTTCACCACTTTGTATTTTAAATAATTATAAATCTAATAAATTGATCTTCTGTATATAAAGATAATTGAAAATGAATCTTGATGTGAATGAAATGAGAGAGGGAGTGAGAGATGGGAGAGGGGTGGGTGGGAGGGAAGTTATGGGGGGAAAAGCCATTGTAATCCATAAACTGTACTTTGGAAAATTATATTTACTAAATAAAAGTTAAATATATATATAAATCTATAAGACTTCTCCTGGAAATGTGTTTTTAAAATGTCATGATAATGCCACCCTTCTCATGTATATTCTGATATACATATATATAAAGTCAAATAACATAAAATACCCTGGCTTGCTAGAAATACATCTACTTCTCTATCACAACTGTCTATGTCTGATATGCTTTAAATAGGGCTTTATAAAGCTACAATTTTTGTAATATTCTATTATGATCTTCCTTAGAAATATTAGAAATGAGAATTTAAACTAAATGCCTTTCATCATATGTGTCTCATGACAATTACCAACAAAAATTCCTCTATGGATTTCTCATGTTTCTCTTCCTTCTGTTTGTTCACTCCCCAAATGGTTACTATGGCCGGTGCACTGCACCGATCTGAAGCCAGGAGCCAGGTGTTTCCTCCTGGTCTCCCATGCTGTGGTGCTGGCCAATATATATTTGCTTTTTAATTCACCAAAACATGAAATAAGTTTCAAAAATAGTATCACAAAAAGCGCTACGTAAACTACTTTCAAGTTTTCAGTTTTTGCTCAAAGTATTTCCAAATCTTGAAACTTTTTCAAAAGTGTACAGAATAATAGGATTTTCAGATTTAAATAACATTTTCAACTTACAATATTATGACTTCTCAAACATTTGCAGCTTCATAGAAATTTAATGTACAGTTTAGTGAATTCTACTACTCTGTGTTTCACAGCAACTAGTAAGGACTGTTGGCAGGGGCAACCACAGCACTTTAAGTAAATTGGTGGTTACTGTCTCCACCTTGTCATCAGGTAAACACCAGCTCCTCCATGCTCAACCTGCAATAGGCTTGGAGGAGAATCTATTGCAACCAAAGGGAAATGTTGCCAGTTGGGACACTTGTACACACCCAGCACAACTGTGAAAGGAGTGGGGCTGTGGCTGGCAGGTATTGCACATGCATGTCACCCAAGGATTTTGCCAGAGGGAAACATTCACATTCCCCACTGACTTACAGTCTGGCTGAGAGGCTCCATCTGCCAGGGTAGAATACATGGGCTGTGGCTCCAGGAACTCCTCAGTCACTGTGTGGGCAGAACAGGCTAGTGGGGCAGAGTGTACCCTCTGGCAGTCCTTGAACATGGGAGCCCTGGGTGCTGTGACTGTGAAAGCACTGTGACTGCCTGGGAGGAGGCAAGGTGTAGCCTGGGTCTGGGCAAGCTCTGGATGCAGAGTCACACTCTCAGAACTCTTTGGTTGCCAGGGCAGATCTCTGTAGCAGGAATCATGCTCACAGAGAGGACTATGCAGATCATTTGTGTGGTTCATCCAGAAGTGCAGATGAGTGTTGAAGACACTGGGGACAAACACCTGGGCATTACTCAGCTTGGAGGAAAGGAGGTGACAGGCTGATCACACCAACATGTGACCATCTTCTGCGCTAGAGATCTTTTCTAGGATGAAAGCAAAGCTGTACTCTGTGCTCAACCACTATGATGAGATGAAGGGGCTACATCAGATTTGGAGGAATTTGGAAGGTTGTGTCCCTTAGGTGAGACCATTAGCAGTTAGAGCTGGGCCAGGAGAATTGGAAAAGGAGGCATTTGGCAAGGCCTTTACTTGTGTGGCAAACTTCATTGATTATTTAATAGACCATGGATAAGCAGGTTAATTAGCAAGATTTTAATTAACAAGTTCCAGGATTATTTTCCAACTTCCCGAGGGGAACTGATCTCTTCCTATTTATTCCCAGAGGCTTCCTAACCTGCTTAAACGAACCACATCAGATGAATTGAAATTCAATCTTCTATTATAACTGGAAAAACAGCAAGAAAATGCAGAAACACAGTGCTACTCCTTATGATAACAGCAAATATTCTTTGAGCTCCTTCTTGGTGTCAGCATTCTGGGTGCCCTGAAGGTAATTATTTATTTATTCTTTAAAACAGCTTTAGGAGTCAGATGCTATGTATCTCCATTTACAATTGAGGAAACAGAGCTACAGTGTTGTTAAGCAAAGCTCCCTTCATCTCACAAGCAAGAAGTAGATATATATCTCCTCTGAAAACTTAATTATGTATATATGATAAAATAAATATGTATATAAGTATATATATCTATATAATATATATACACATCTATATAATATTTTCCAAAAAAAATTGCATGCTTTCTTATCATACTGTCATTTAAAAAGTCAGTGTAAATCAGTGTATTTACTTTCTTTTCCTTTGGAACAGTAAAAACACCCAAAGATTATTTTTAATTAACTTAGCACTAAGTTCTTAAAATTAGCTGAGAATTTGGAAATTCCAACTTGGTTATCACTGAGTTGTCATGATTCATAGCATTGCATTTCATGAAATTACAGCCTTTGAAAGATCTCCATTATTATCATTCCATTAGTTGAATACAATTGTATAGATATCCTTTAAATTTCATTTAATAATTTTTATTTAATTAATGTATTTGAGATACAAAGACAGAGCGATCGTCCACCTCCTGGTTCACTTTTCAAATTCCCACAAGACCCAGGCTGAAGTCAGGAGGTTGACACTCAATCCAGGTGGCAGGGACTCAGGGGCTTGAGACATCACAGGCTCCCTCCTTAGGTGTGCATTAACAGGAAGATGGAGGTGGGATAGGAGTTATACTCCAACACAGGTATTCTGATAAGGGATTTAGACATCTCAGGTGTCATCTTAACCACTTTACTGAGGGCCTCCACCTTCTTTTCTTTTTTTAACTTCTGTTTCTTTCATGGCTACAATGATGCCTAGGAAACAGCATACCCTCAATGTTACTTACTTTAAATTTTGCTTTTAGATAAATTTATCTGGACTGTATTCCCAAAGTGTATTCATGACAAAAAATGAATTTTTCACATATTGATCTTTAAAAGTTCATGAGAAAGAAAAAGAAAAGAAGTGGACAGAAGAAAAAATTAAGAGGGAGTCAGCTACAATCAAATTTACAGTTATCACTGTAAAAGGCTACTTAAGTTTCTTTTGCAAAAAGAATGTTAACATCAAACAGTATATTTCACTTTGTGTTTCTATGGGGGTGCAAACTGTTGAAATCTTTACTTAATGTATACTAAACTGATCTTCTGTTAAAAAAAAAAGAAGAAATTAGCAATTCCCAACTTGACTCTCACTGGGATTAAACATGACAATAGGTCTGATCTGATTTCATCATCATTTAAAAAATCATCTATTATTTTTCACTTTATGTTTCTGTGTGGGAGCAAACTGTTGAAATCTTTACTTAATGTATGCTAAACTGATCTTCTGTATATAAAGAGAATTGAAAATGAATCCTCATGTGAATGGAAGGGGAGAGGGAATGGGAAAGGGGAGGGTTGTGGGTGGGAGGGACATTATGGGGGGAAGCCATTGTAATCCATAAGCCGTACTTTGGAAATTTATATTCACTAAGTAAAAGTTAAAAAAAAATACCATGAAACAACTACAAAGCAAACAACCCAATTAAATAAAAAAAAGAATGTTAACATGTAGAAATACAGATTTTGAAACATATGCACCCACAAGGGAGTGGAAAATAGCTGCTTTTGACATTACATGGATCTTTGTCAACTCTATCAAGTTATAATTAAATAGCTAGCTAGTATTTATTAAACCCCAAATATGTAAACTGAAGAGGTTATATCTTCTACATTAAACAAAATGATCTCTCTTAGACAAACAAGATAGTCTGCTGAAGAAGTTTCCTCTGAATTTTTAAAAAAGATTTATTTATTTATTTGAAAGAGTTACAGAGAGGCAGAGGCAGAGAGAGAGAGAGAGGTCTTCCATCTACTGGTTCACTGCCCAGATGGCCACAATGGCTGGAGATGTGCCGATCCTAAGCAAGGAGCCAAGGGCTTCTTTCAGCTCTCCCACATGGGTGCAGGGTCTCAAAGACTTGGGTCATCTTCTACTGCTTTCCCAGGCCATAGCAGAGAGCTGGATCAGAAGTGGAGCAGCCGGGACTTGAACTGGTGCCCATATAGGATGCTGGCACTGCAGGTGGCAACCTTACCTGCCAGGCCACAGTGCTTTATTGATTCAAAGTACCTCTTTTGGAGATGTCCAAAGGTCTCTCAAAATGGCCATTGCAATTTTAAGTTGTCCCTGGTGAAACTGCACCAGAGGATAGATGCACACATTACTGTGGTGGTGAGAAACATGAAGGAAGCAGGTGTTTAGGGTGGAAAACATGTGTTGCTAGCCTGAAAAAGCCCCATGGGAAGTCAAAAATCTGTAAAGATGGTGAACTTTCTATCTTCACAGTTTGACCAAGGGAAAACATCTGGCCAGGAGTAAGCCAAAGCCCTCTGAGTCTGGGTAGATCAAGTGAAAGAAAGAGGTCTCAGGGACACAAGGACAGAATTCAGAAGTCAGGACACTGGTCTTAGTAGACCTTATAAACTTATTAAACTTATCTATCCCCTGGTGGTAGCTCAGGGAGAAGGTTATTGAACCCATTCCTATCCAAGCCCAACAGATTTTTCCTCTTATAAACAAACATAAAAACATTAGATGAGCAGAAAAACCATAGGAATATGTGTTAGAGTGTTAGAAATCCGTTTCTCCAAGAAGCAAACAAATCTGATCAGATCAATGAAATACCTTCCTAGAAAACCAAACCCAGACTGATGGGCTTTAGTACTACTAGTAGGGAGCTGGAACAATCAGGACTCAAAATGGCACCCAAATGATAGCTGGTGACAAAACCACTAAGCCACAATGATGGCCCCATTAAGGCAAATCTTCATGTCAACTAATGAGAAAAATCATTTTATTATCCAATTTCCCTTGGACAAACACAATCACTGTTAATCCCATACTACATGAGTTAGGGATGCTACAGCCATTTCATATATGAATAAACAGGCTTCAGCAGCTCACTACTAGCACTTAAAGAGTTATAATTCAAATACTACTCTTCTAAGCCCAATTCACATTGTTCTCCCTTCTATCCAAGGATGTTGTATCAGAAGATCACAGAGTAATGTGCTAACTGTGCTAAATCATGTACTATGGACATTTAGACAACAAATACATCAGAGAAGGGAGTTAGAGAAATTGTTTTTAGGTACAAGATTCCCTGGCTTGCTTCCTGAAAATGCAGGAACACCCACTCTGTCTCTCAAATAGGTTTTAAGAAACAAATAAGACAAAAAGTAGGGGGAAGGCAACATTTGGGTGTACAGTTAAAATACTGTTCTTAACCTAATCACAATAAAAATCCCAAAGCATATTCTATTTAAATTTATATAGATTAAAAAATTGTACAGGTTTAAAAATTCACCTCAAATAATAATAATTATTGCCAAGAGAATCCTGAAAGGGAAAAAAAGGTGGGAGTTTTCTAACTGTAACAGATTTTAAAATACTGTCCATTTAAAATTTTAATATTTTATTTCCTTTCATGTTATTTTAATTGCAGAGAGTGACAGAGACAGAGAGTCAGATCATCCTGTCACTGGCCCATTCCCAAAGTGACAGCAACAACTGGGAATGGGCCAGGAAAAATAGGAGCCTAGACTTGATCCAAGCACCGAGGCAGTCCTATGTGGGATGTGGACATACCACATGGTATCCTAAGCAATGTTCCAAACACTCACACCAACATACTGCATACTTCAGAGGTGAGTGAGTTAAGGTGCACTGATAATCTGGGTGTCACATTTTCTGGGGCAGGCTGAGCAGGCTGCACCACCTTGAGCATGTTCTCAGGCTGTCCATGGGCCACTTGCCCTGTGCTCTGCTTTCCTGGCCAGTGGCCTTGGGTACCAAGAGCCAGGTCCAAGATGAGTGGATTTCTCACTAGGAGAGCAGTGCTGGCTCTTCTGCTGTCTGCCCTGATGAACCACAGCACCACCAAAATAGCTTTCCTGAAGCCAGAGCCTACCTACACGGTGCTTGCTCCCTAGCAGCAAAGCCCCGGGGTGCCTGCTCAGGAGGCTGCTGTGGCCCTGGCCTCTGCCACCAGTAGTCATTGAGGGCCAGGCCAGGCTCCTGGTGCTTGCACAAACTGCACATCAGCGAGTGTGTGACTGACAGTACCAGCAGCACTCGACCAGGCACAACTGGCAGGGTTGCATGTCCATGCACTGCGTGCCCTGCAGCCTCTACCAGCTATTCTCCAACAGTAATGCAGAGGAACTGGGCCAGATGTGCAGCTTTTCTGATGGCTCCGTCTCGTACACCAGGTACATCTAGGGATTCTCAGGCTACAACTTGAGCCCAGGATAATCCTCCAAGAAGAACCTCCATGCAGACATAATGTGGCAGGCTCTGTGAACTGGGTCAGGTCCTGAGAACTTTATCCGGTGTGGGCGTCTATCTACTGGGACTGTGCCCATGGTAGACTTGGCCTGGTGGTACCAGTGCGCAGCGGTCATCCTCTGTTCCTCTCAAGTGTTCAGTCTACAGCAGGCTTTTCCAGATTCCAGAAACACTTCCTGCTTCTATGCATTCCCCAGCATTGACAAGCTATCTGAACTCCCTTCTCCCTTGTGGGTCAGTCACAGCAGGGAGGAGGAGGTCATCAGCTTATTTCATAGCCTGGTCATGTAGGGGTTTTGTCCCCAAGCTGTGGAGTCCCTCTGGAGTATCGGACATGTAATACACATAAAATTGCTGCATTACTTGTATTGACTGGGGCAAAGGATTTGGAGATTCTTTGGTTTGATTTCTGTTTCCTCAAACTTAAAAATACTGTAAATGCCTCAGATCATTCTACAACTGGATTGTAATTGATTGATGACTTATGGACTGTTGCTTAGATGGGGCACAGTGGTTGGTGATGGAATAAAATGTTCATGGATTAGAAGAAAAAAAAGAGAAGCAGACCGCTTAATAGAACACACTGTAAAAGCCAGAAACAAAAAAGGCATACTTAGATATTTCAGGTTAAAAGTGGCATTGTAACATACGATCAAAACATGAAGTGTTTGGGATAAGTGAACAGCCACTTTACAAAAATTTGTAAACACCACATGATGCTCCAAATTCAAGTGTGGATTCACTAAAGATTCAGTTAAGGGAAATAATAGCAAAAACTCAAATGGGCAAAATGAGAGGAGTAAGAGGCACAAAGAACGGTGGTTTCATTACTTCTGGAAAATCTGTGTTGATTTCTTGTCCCAAGTTCACACTTGTTGACACATATGGTCACAGTTTCTGAAATCACGCAAAATGATTTTGTTTTACCATCTGTTAAAGTCCCATTGAAACCAACTAGGACTCAAAGGGACGTGGAGGGGGAATAAAGAGCAATAAGGGGATTTAGAGAGAAGGATTTTAAAAGTTTACTTAGATTAGGCCTTTGGCATCCTGAAATTGCACTCCACTGTAGTCCTGGTCCAGTACAGACTGCTTTCCCACAGGCACGAGTGTTACTTTCCTAATGACCTCAACACTCAAATTCCACTGACATTTGCAAGCAACAAAATCCAGCCTGTTTGAGAGATAGAAACCTTGCAAGTGCACATGGAGCACCCATTGCCTCCAAACTTCTGTGTGCACGCTCAGCCATTGACCGCTAGAGGGCGCATGTGCACCTGTGTTCTGGAGTGTTGCTTGGTTACAGAGATTGTGCACTCAGAGGTTGGAAACGCCCTGTTGGGAGGTCGACTGGAAACCAGTCGTTCATCTACAGGGTTATCCTTAGGCTTGAGGGGTGGTGAGAGTGGCCAGAAGTCTCAGCAATGAAGGTTTTACCTTCCCATTTCAGAAGGGCGAGTTTCTCTTCAGCTCCTCCATCAGGTGTGAAAATGACAAACAGGATTATTTTATTTTTTATTTTATTTATTTATTTATTTGACAGGCAGAGTGGACAGTGAGAGAGAGACAGAGAGAAAGGTCTTCCTTTTGCCGTTGGTTCACCCTCCAATGGCGTGCGGCAGCCAGCACTTCACGCTGATCTGAAGCCAGGAGCCAGGTGCTTCTCCTGGTCTCCCATGGGGTGCAGGGCCCAAGCACCTGGGCCATCCTCCACTGCACTCCCTGGCCACAGCAGAGAGCTGGCCTGGAAAAGGGGCAACCGGGACAAGAACCCGGTGTGCTGGCACCAGAGGCGGAGGATTAGCCTATTGAGCCAAGGCATTGACCAACAAATAGGATTAAATCACTGGTTACCACAAAGGTGCCAAGGCTGGTGAAGCAGACCAAGGGCAGTTGCTCCTGTTTGCTTGGTGAAAGTGGTGTAGCAGCTGGAGACAAGAACAGGTAACAGGGATACAAATTTGGGTGTGAGGGGCGGGCCACTGAAGGCTGGGGCTGATCAGAGTGCTTGCTTTCTGGGACTCACAAGCTGCAGGGCCTGCAGTAACCTGGGATGCTGGGCTTCTTGCCCTCTGCAGCTCCTCAGCACCTAATTGACTTTTTTCCTCAGGATCACTTTGGCTATCCTATGACTATGGTTCTATATGAATTTTAGCACTGTTTCTTCTAATTAATTCTTCTAATTCTAATATTGTTATTTTGACAGGGATTGCATTGAACCTGTAAATTGCTTTGGAGACTATGGACTTTTAATGACATTAATTCTTCCAATTCATTTTGTGATTTTGATTATTTCTTTCATCAATAATTCATATTTTCCATTGTGTAACTCTTTTAATTAATTAATTGTTTATTCCTGAGTATATAACTCTTGTGGCTATTATGAATACAATTTCTTTCTTGATTTTTCTTTCATTAAGATCATTACTGGTGTATAAATATACTTCTGCTTTCATATGTTGATTTTGTGTCTTATGCCTTTATAAAAGTTCATACAAAACTTTTCCTTATGCTTAAAGGCTATTAGAAAAACTATAGTGGGTAGATCCAAATATGATATCCATTTATTTCTGATACTATTCCTAGAAAGACTTATTTTATAATTTTTGTTCTTCTTTTCTCAATTATTTATTTGAATTGAGAGAGAGAGAGAGAGATCTCATTTCTATCTGCTGGTTAACTCCCAGATGCCTCCAACAGCTGAGTTTGAGTCACATTGAAGTCAAAACCTCAAACTCTATCCAGGTCTTTCACATGGATGGCAGGAACTCAAGTACTTAAATCATTACCTACTTCATTGCGAGTTACATTATCAAGAAGCTGGGTTGGAAACAGAATTTCTAGGACTCAAAATGACACTCTGAGATGGGAAGTAGTTGTCTCTAGTGGTGGATTAACCTGCTGCACCATAATGCCTGCCCCAACTTATCCTTCTTTAACTGCTTCAAACATCAGTAATTCTTTCTTGCTATTGCTTTTAGTTGTTGAATATTCATGAGCATGTATTTAATTCATGAATGTGTATGTATTTAACATGAACAGTTCACATTTTTTCATGATTGATTAACTACATTTTATAGACATGATATCTGCATTAGGATTAGGAGAAGAGGGAGATAATCACCTGGGAATTCTGAGAACTGTCCATTGCTACTTACATCTTTCAGCATAATTTTTACTGATGTTAAAACATGAAACATACTTCTTTCATTTTTTAAAAATTATTTTAGATTGGTGAGATAAAGGAAGAGAGATATCCCATCTAATAGTTATTTCACAAAATTACTTCACTGGCCAATGCTGTCCCAGGATACAGCCAGGAGCCAGTAGACCAGTCTTGGTCTGCCATATGTGCAGCAAGGAATCAGCCACCTCAGAATCACCTGCTCACTCCCAGAGAGCACAATAACAAGAATTTGCCATCAGGAGCCCCTTGCAGGAATCAAATCCAGGTTTTCTGATTTGGGATGAAGCCATTCTAACTGGTTTCTTAACTATTGGCCAGATGCCCACAAATATGATTCTTAGACTTTACTTATTCATCTCCATATATGGCCATAGGACTTTTCTTAAATTTATAATTATCAATCTATGATTAGTAATGTAATTATGTGCTAACTGTATTGCTTCTGCATAGTAAAAATTTACTAATATGCATGATTCATTTATTTAAGTCAGTGTAGTATAGCATAAAATATTTCCTAAGGCTTAGAGTGAAATCATCATTTGGGGTTCTAAAACTAAGTGTATCTAAAACCCAAAGATTGGGTCTGGCACTGTGACCATCAATGCCAACAGCCCATGTGGGCACTGTTTCATGTCCCAGCTACTCCACTTCCAATCCATGTCTCTGCCTATGGCCCAGGAAAGCAACAGAAAATGGCTAAGTGTTTGAGCTCCTCCTACCCATGTTTGAAACTGGAAGAAGTTCCTGCTTCCTGGATTCAGGCCTGGCTTACCTGTGGCTATTGTGACCATCTAGAGAGTGAACCAGCTGGTGAACGATCTTTCTCTCTAAAGCTCCTTCCATCACTGTATCTCTGACTTTCAAAGAAATAAAATCTAATTAAAAACCCAAAGATTATTTCAATTCATTATATGGCCAAATATTATTTTATATTATAAATGGATGTATATATGTATGTAAATGTCTTGATGAGGATTAAAGAAAAATAGGTTGAATTGTATTTTTTACAGCTTGGAACTGAGACATAATAATATGATTCTATTTGGGTTGTCAAGTATACATCTATAGGAAATAATTCAGGATGAAGAAAAGTATAGGAATTATAATTATATGGGATAATAGCAATAAAGGTTTGATTTAATAGTGTTTTAATCAGCAGAAGTGATTTTTTTA